CGCCGCCCCCCTCCAGGTGCCGCCCCAAGCACCAGCTTGGGTGCCTGGTGCCTGGAGCCGGCCCTGGGTGTCAGGGCAGCAGGCTCTGGCTGCAGGGCTTCGGCCTCCAGCCCTGGGCACTGGCTGCCTGGCGGCAGGCCCCAGGGTCCAGCCCATTGGCTTCGGGCTTCATCCTCTGGCCCCGTCCTCCAGCTGCGGGACTTTGGGCTCTGAGTGCCCATCTCAGGAAGCAAGAGACAAGGGCTGGGAATGGAAGCCAGGTTTTCCAGAAGGCAGTGCCAAGCACTAATCACTAGGCAAGCAGATCAGGCTAGCAAAGGGGATTTGGGCTTTTAGTATCTTCTGGTGTCTAGGAGTAAAAAAGTATCAGAACACAGTGAACAAATATGTCTGAGCTTATCCAATCAAATGAGTCTCTTGAATTTAAATGGCTGCTATTGTTAGATATAAAATTCAGTAGTATTTGAAATAGCAAATAAGTGTTGTAGTGAGTGAGACAGAGTGCTTTTTCACACAGAGAAATAGCCTCACCAAGAACGGGTGCATGGAAGGATTGTTGTTCCTTACCAGGATTCAAACCCCTGCCACAATATTTTTATGCATACCAGACTCAATAAAACTTTGGTAAGACTTCACTTTCATTAACCCTTCTCCCCCAGCCTCACAGCCCCCTACTCAGATCCTCCTCCCATCTCATCTCATCCTTCTACAGCCCCACGAGAACCCTCCTGTCAGCTCATAGCTCTCTGGGGACATCCCTCTTCACCTCCGTCAGTATGTCCTTCATTATCTCTGCCCAGCTGTGGTTTATAAATTGTTTAAATCTTTTCTAGGTACAGATAACGATCACAATTACCCAGAATACAAAAACACAGTCAGCTCAAAGTGTGGTTAGGCTCTGCCCTACTTTCATTGACTTAAGATGAAAATGCTCTGTTTGAGGGGTGGGGGAGGGGGAAGAGACAGAGAAGAAACCCACTTCGAGAAATACAGCTGCATTTGTTCAAACCACATAGCCCTTTCCTGCTGTCCTGCTTTGGACCTTATGTGAATAGAACAAAATGCTTTTCAGATGTGAAACCTGAGACAGAGGCTCAGATTCAGCATAGCACTTAAGCACATACTTAAGTGCTTTTCTGAACAAGGATAGACTTACCTACTTTTCTGCATCAGGGTCAGAGAGAGTCCCAGATCCTAGAAGGTATTTAAGCACCTAACTTCCAAGGCCAGAATGATTATAGAACATAGCAGGTGCTGCAGATAAGGACTGAGATGCATTGGCAGAGTACCTCCCACGGTGCTTAATATATTAACCCATGTACCCAGTGATGTCTTTCATCATATTAAGTTAGTCAGTGGTCATGTCCAGAGAAATGGGGTAGGAAAGAGCCCTGGACTTTCCTTGCTGTGACAAAACCCCTCTATGGGAAGCCCGCCTTTAGTTATAGAGGTAGCACGTAGCCGTGTTTGTCCGAAAAACATCGAAGTAATTGTACATCTACACTGCAATGTCTGCATCCTTATAGCATGACACAGCAACAATTTGCAGTGATCAAAAAATCATTATAACTGAAATAAATGTGGGAGACCCTTTAACTTCCCTGCATGGAATAGGCTCACACGGAGTAGAATGGATCTGCATGTTTCAGCAGCAAGGATGCTACCCAGATATATATGACTCTAGACTTGAATGTGCAGTTGCTAAACTCCTCAATATTGTATTTTTTTCAGGACTTTCACCTCTGGAAACTGTAAGGGACAGCTGAGGTTTCACATCTCTGGGTCTATGACCTTGCCTAAGATAGGAAATATTTGCTGAATTCTCTCACCTTTTCAACCCCACCAGTGGTAGCAATGTGGGGGGAATACTAGCATACACAAGATAACAGCCACTTGCACTTAAAGCACAGTGTTGTGTGGCTCTCCTGTGAGCAGGGTTAGACAACACAGTAGTAAAACAGCAGCAGCAGCATTGTATTTACACTAGTGCTCCCACTGGTAGAGTTGAACTAGTGGTAGCAACAATAGTAAATTTCAGAGGAAAAGGTCTATTGTAGTGAAGACCAAGGAGAGACTAAGAGACTAGAGTGTGAAACATGATGCACTCATGGATTATATTTATTAACACCATTGACCTAGCTCATACAGCCTAGGAAGTGTGAATGACAGAATACCCAGAAAACACATTAGAAAATTCTGGTAAGAAGTTTTTCATGCTACTGGAAAAATGTTACAGAGAAAGAGAAGAAACAGTAATAATAATGCACTGCAGTTATACTTAGTGCATCTATAGCACCTCGCCTCAGGATTTTAAAGCACATTACTGCTATTATTAGCTTTGGCCCTAATGGATAACATATGAATGATTTGTCTGTGTGGCTTATTTTTAAATAAGGTAACTATATCAACATATAAGTCAGAGACTGCATTAATTTTTGGCATATTCCTGCAAGGTTCAGTGGTGGTGGGCAAACATCTGGGCTTCCTTACTTCCCCGTCTCCAGTTCATCCCTTCCTCATGCATGATCCCGAGCCTGCAGAGAGCTCCTCACAAGGTGTGGGGACAAAAGGGATGGTGCCCCTCCACGTCCCCCAGCGCACAGATCTATTATTTATTTTTGCTTGGGAGTCCAAGAATCCAGACACTTATGATATGACTGGATTTAGGTACAGATCTAAGCAGAGATGGGACATACCCCTAGTACTAAGCTATAGTATGGTTCACAGTCTGCTGTCAAAACAGCTACCACCTTTCTAGGTGGATACATTCTTTGATCTAAATGTAGAAGTAAAAAGTAAACCATCTTGTTCATTTAGAAATAATTTTGTGCATCATCAAATTTGTTGGGAAGCCTTCTGCCTTGAGGATCTGCAGCTGAAGGAACTTTAAAGAGATTGACTTGTACAGACAGGTTCATATGCTGCACTTACTGTAAAGAAGTAACCAGCATAGCTGCATAGAAAGTAAAAGCAGAAAATGAAGTTAATTCAAGAACACCTTAGCCCTATCCCCAACTGCTAGATAAGCTCTAGCAGACGAATTCAGCACTAATCATTTCAGAGGTATAAAACAGGACTCAAAGAAAGAGATGAGGGATCTGGTGTGGGTGGATTTACACAACATGTAATGACAGAGAGAAGGAATGCATAAAGCTCTTTGGGATCCTTCTGGATGAAACAGGAACCATTTTAGATGTATTTCTCATCTGAGAGTGTTAGGTTGGCTTGTTCCTGCTATGGGTCCCAATTCAGCAAAATACTTAAATACATGGGGAGTTTTATTAAAGTCAATGGCGTCACTGATTTGAGTGGAACTCCTTGTATGCTTATGTACCTTACTGAATCAGGGCCATAATGAGATGGATTCAATTCTAACTTATTCTCGTGAATTTTAAGAGACAAATGCAAACACTGTGGGTTTTTTTATGAAAGAGGATTTTTATTAATTTTAAAAATATACAAAATATAGTTTATACAAACTGAACTGTTTTCAGCCCAGAGTTCATAACATCACATTCATTAGCTTACATCATAGGAAAGTGTCCTTTCAGATTTAATCCATACAAGAGATAGAGAGAGTGGTCTTATCTTTTAAGTGAATTGGTGCAGGAGTCTTCTCTATGCCCAACCAGGTATAGCTCAACCAGTAGCTGTTCTAACCCCTCCCCCATCCCGCACACTGTACTCCTGCATCACCATGCCTCAGCATTGATGTTAAGGGCCACCTCTAGGGAAGCTAAGTTTCAGTGGCCCATTCAATCCTTGGCCTCTCTACTGGACTATCAGGAGTGGGGTCGTTAACTGCCATCTGTGATTATGAGTTGCCTGATGTGTACATAGGCTGGGGAAAAAATTCTGTTCACTTGGCCACAGGCAGATAAGATTTCAAAAGCTGGTAGAAAATGGGGTTGTCCAGTTTCCAAGTTGTGGACTTGTTCCCTTGAGTAAGTTATGCTGAAATACTGGTCCTGCTGTGATTGGCTAAAGGCTTTTCTCTGTATTGCACTTGTTCTGTTTTGGATATTATGCCCAGGTTTCCCACTTCTATTCTCTAGTTTTTAGAGCCTACATTTTCCTTGGGAAAGACACATCCCAATGGACTTCGGAGCCTAAGTCACTTGGGCATTTCTGAAAATGTTACCATGTCCATGTTTTGCTCCTGGTCCTCTCCCACCCTTAAAGCCAGAAGAGAATAGCCTGAGGGGATTGGAAAGCATCTACATGAGACCTATTCATGTATAAATCCATCAATTCCACAAGTGCAATTTGTTATTCATAACAGTGCGAGTGTGGTCTTGTTTTGATTAAATGTATGATGGAAAACCCACTTTCTACCACCACTGTCTTATTGTGAAGTGGGCCTGATCCAAAGATCATTGAAATCAGTGATAGTCCTTCCATTGATTTCAATGAGATCTGGATCAAGCCAAAATCTAAAGTATTGCCACCAAGAACAATATCCTGAAAAGCAGGCAGTTAAAAGCTTTGTTAAAACATGCATGTGCTGTCATTTATTCTGGATCTCATGCATTAGTGCATGTTGAGAGCAAACCACTAACAAGGCATTCTCCTTCTCCTCCACACTTTTGTAAAGCCGTCTAGCTTTACTGTGGCTGACATGAATTAGGACCATTCTTCTCCCCTCTGACTGCCACAGATCAAAGCTGCTGCTCCTCAAGTTACTCAGCCTGCCACCAGCCTCCCTTGTTGTCCTGGTCTAACAGATAGGAAGCTTGACTCTGTCTGTCCCAGGCAATATGATTTTTCCCCAGCCTATGTCCATGCTTGTCTACTAGGAACTAGACCGAAACCCCCACATCTCAGTTCAGAAAAGCAGATGGTGACAACTTTTGGTCACTACGGACCTGGAGCTGGAATCAATTCAGTGACAGAGGTAAAGGGCTAGGAGTCACATCTGCAATTCTTTTGTGCCATCCAGTTCCTTCCCATCTGAACAAATTCAAGGGAAGTCACATTTGGAACTAAACTATTTAGCTTGAATCAAAATTAGATTTTTCTGACAATAGTGCTACTAGGTGTAGTGGCCCAAAAGCTCAGACAACTCTCCAGAAAGGAATCGTGAGTCAGAATGGCTCTCTCAGCTCCCTTTTTTGTCTTTCTTTAGGACACCTATTCTCTCCTTTCCACATCCTCCCTAATCTGTCCCCTTTTCCTGTAAGGCAATTACATGATACAACCAGAAGATTCCATCAGTCTACATATACAAATATACAACACTAATGGGGTTATACATCCAAGGAATTGGTATATCTGGTGTAAACTAAACTAAACTGAAGAAGTCAGTACAGTCTAGTACCTGAGTTTATCCTGGTAAATTATCAATTCTAGCAAATTACAAGGCAATACTGATGCAAACATACAGTTTTGGTAACATCATCAGAGGTCAAATCTGAGACATTATTGCATGTATAGGGAAAATTATATTTGGAATTCTGATAAAGTAGGGGGGCCATTCAGGAATCCAAACATTCATCATGCCCTAATGCTATGCAATATATGAGATGTGGGGGTTTGTGCACACTCCATGTTTCTAGGTGGAGTTTGATCTGGTGAGGCAGGTTCATAATGAACACAGACCCTTTTCTCAGAGGTAGTGATAACATAAAAGCCATTGGCTGGGGGCCCCCTGCGGCACATGTGCACACTGAGAAGCAACTAACAAATTTCAGCCAAGGACTCTGGGAAAAATACAACATGACTGGTTAAGACACAAGAGCATTATGAAGAGAGCTGGTGAGAGTCAGGTTAGTAATCCCATCTGTTAGGAACTTCCAGTTTCTTATGCTGCACTTGTTGCTTGTTGGGATTAAAACTCGAGCACTTTAAGGCTTGATATACAGAACCTCTTATGAGTCCAATCAACTTTTAACTTTTACCATTAGCAAGAATACATTAAAAATCCATATGTGCGCTTGTATAATTTCCTCAGCAAACCGAGGTGTGCCAGTCAGAGACCTGAACCAACCTCGTTTTCCTATTCCCTGAACAGGGTTTTGAGGGCAGTAGATAACGAGAATACTATAAAGAAATTACAGACCTGCAGACATCCAAAGAGGCACTAGGGTACATGTCAGGAGATGTTTTCTCCTTCTTGGGGTGGGGATGGACAAATCTACATTCAAGGTGTCTTACAGAAATATCTCCCACTGAGTGTCAGCAGCAAAATCCTTCTTAACAGAACATATTTTACAGAGAGAGAGACACACATTTAAACACTCCCACAAGCAAACAATTATGGTTTTACTTACTTAGTCCATATTTTTCCAGACGTTTTAAAAAGTTTTTCCATAGTCCTGGGTAGGTGGGGGGGAGGGAAAGCACCATCTCCAAAACCCTTTACATCCAAATTGCCACAATACTTTTCCACACCATAGTTCTCCCAAAATTGGTTTCTTCGTCCCACCCTGTGTTCTGAGAGACCTTTGTCTTTGTATTAATTGGGACAAATGTGCATATCATCCTTGTTTTAGAAATTAATAAAACAATACTTAGCACTTATATATTAGTTGTCAATCATAGAGCTCAAACCAATTTCCTATGGGGTGTGCACTAATTAAGCTATTTATAATAGAGGGTGTTAAGCATGTGCTGTGTGGTTTACTTATAAAGCACGAACATTAAAACTAACTAAAAGATCCCCCTATTAGGAGCTAGAGTATTTTATTTATCCTTAATGTAATTTTCAAATAGAGCAATCGTGACCATTAACAATGGAATGATTCAAGAGCTGTTAGCTATACAACCCAAGGTGCTTATTTTTAGGCCAAATAATCAGATAAGAACAGTTCACAGCTGGGTCAAAGCAATGGAATGAGATGGCTCTTCCCTCTGTGTTACACAACCATCGTAAAACAGAGCCATTCCTGAGCACAGCTGTGAACTTTGAAGAAATAAGTCAGTTCCTTTTGCTAGTGCATGGAGTAAATAGAGGAAGGTAGCGAGCATACTTCAGGTGTTGCATTTGCAGTGGGGCAAAGGAGGGGGAGTGAAATGCCACGTAGGTAGAGAGGACTATGTCCCACCTGTCTTCCAGAGATGGGAAGAGTAAGGGAATGCACAGCACAGGGCAGAGCAGGCAGGTGGCATTCATGGTTGAGGAAGGAGCTCAGAGGCAGTGGTTCTGCAGCAATGCACAGAAATAAAGAGTGTCTGAGGCTTCGCCTACAGGCTGGGGACACTGATGAAGTTCAAAATAGCACAAGTATCAGAGGGGTAGCCGTGTTAGTCTGGATCTGTAAAAAGCAGCAGAGAGTCCTGTGGCACCTTGCTGTCACTGACTGCCTCCTGTTGACCCACCTGCCTCTCCATCTACTTTGCCGTCAGTCCCACCTAGGCGGTATGACGGAGAACTTTGGTTGTGCTGTTGAGGAGCTTGTCATGCCAATTTCATTGAATAAGTTTCTTTAAAAAAAATCCTTGTAGGGCCTGGGGCAAGGCCTATTTCTTCTTTTCACTTCGAAGTGGGCAGCAGCCCAGGACTCTCGCCATTTAGAGCTAGTGCCAGAAAAAAAAATGGCAAGCTATTAATCAGAGGAACACCTTGCCTCTCCGCTGCCTGAGACATTAAAAAGAAAAGAGATGTGCCTCAAAAGGTACCAAGAACATACAGTCTACTTGTCTGCACAGACTTGGTTATTGAACTTTGTACCCGTGCTGATGAGGCAATTTAAGTTGGTTTCTCTTTTAAAAGGAAACTGTTCCGATACAAGTTATGGACCAAATTTTCAAACATTTGCTCTGAAGTTACACACTCACAATGCCATCTGTGCACAGAAGCATCTGTTTTCATAGGTACATTTTTAGGGACACTGCTTAAATGCTGATGTCACTCAGATGAACCCAATCTTTATAGGACCTTGTTTTCATAATTCTGTCTAATCCCCATGTCCATTCCCACCCTCACCAGCTGTGACATCTATAATGTGTATTCTTTGCATCAGGGCCTTGTAGAACTAGCTGTTCTTTGAGGCACCTAGCATACTATTCAATGCCATACAAATACAATATTTAAAATCTAGACCTTATATATTGAGACAGTGTCCTCCTTGTGGTACCTATATTTTTAGATTAATACACTGAAAAAAAACAAAGAAGTGAAATTTACTGTTCCTAACTAATCCTTTTTTCGTTTTTCACTTCACTCAGCATGGCCAGTGAACCTTTGATTTTCATGTACTGGCCCAAAGCTAGTTTGTTTGGTTTTCCAGCACTGCAGGAGAATTATTACTTTTTTTGAAAGCTCCTTTCAAAGACATTTTGAAAACATTTTTATTAGTAGTAACTTTTATAATGCACTTCTCCGTCCCTTTTAGACAAAAACCTAACTTTTTAGGGTGTTCCTTTAGTGATGATCTGCAGGGGGCAGCAGCATACTGCCAGATGACCGTACATGATGGTGCTTTAGACACATCCGCTGATACAATCAATAGCAGAATGGACTCTCCAAACCAAGACTTGGTTGGCTGAATTATAATATTATCCCACTACAGTAAAGCCCAGCTGCCCATAAAAAATGAAGCTATGCAGTCCAGCTTCCAATACAAGCAATGCAGAAGCTGGTGGAACTGTATTATTACACATGCCTGCAACTGTTTCCTACAGTGCAAATATTAGACAGTCATTTCTTGTATTTCTGAAGTGGCATGTTATGTATTTCCATGGTGCAGGGAAGTGAAGGCTGCTGGTTGTGAAATCTTTCTCTCTCTCAACACACACACACACACACACACACGTTGCTTTGGTATCAGTGTACAATTCCTGATAACATTGAATCGGAGCTTGTCAAAGTCTTGGAAATTCAACTGGACCTTTCCACGAGGAGAGATTTTTCAGCAAGAAATAGCTTAGGCACTTTGGAATACAGGGAGAACAGGGGTGTGCTGGGAGGACAGGCAATGCCCATGTTTCTGAAGCTTATGCATCACAACTGGAATAAAAAGTGCTGGATTGGGGCAGTTCTACTCTGCCACAGGGAGAAGCTACACACCTTTACCTCAGGAGGACATGGCTCCCATAGTCAGCAGGTTTAAGCTATCCCCCACCCCTACCCCAAGGAAAAGTACAATCCAACGGCAGTGGCACATTCAGTTAGCGTGTCACACTCGCTCAGTTTTGCCTGCCACATGTATGCAGCTGTCTCCCTCTCTGTATAGGCAGTGGATTCCAGGTGATATTATGCCTTGTTCCTTTCCACACTGAAAAGTAACTGCCCCTCCCATGTACCTCTTCCAATCTCTGACCTTCCTCCCTTGTCCCATTGTAAGCTCCCAGGCTTTGACGCAAAGTTCCTACAACTTGGGCACAACCCTGTGGTTCCTGCAGAGGGGTTCAGAGAACACCAGGGGGGTTCCCCCCATTTCATCACAGTGGATGGGGTTGGCCTGGGTTCCTGCTACCACCATCTCCAGCAGCCTAACTACGCAGTCCGAGAACCAGTCCTTCAGCCAGAAGTAGCCCTCCCGGAAGGAGATCCGGAGGCTGACTGGGCCCGCTGGCATCCGAACACTCACACTGAAGAGGCAGTTCCCCTGAGAGCTGTCCCGCACCAGATAGGTTCCCACCGGCTCCTGCTGTAGCTTGGCATGTGCTTCACTCACAGATAAGGGACCCCAGTAGAAGCCACTGGCCTGCAGGATATTGAGCGATCGCTCCACTACCTCCCACTCACAGCTGCGGAAGGCCCGGTAATGAGTGGGTAAACTGGATGGAGCTGGAGTGTGGGGAGTTCTCCGATGCTGCCTTTGTGGAAGAGAAAGGTTCTTGTGTGCGTTCAGTAGATCATCCGGCCTCCCTCTGATCATCTCTCAAAGGGCCCATGGATCCCAGAAAGATGTGATCTTTAATACACTTTCTTCTTTGCATCCAGCCTGAGGAAGAGAATGAAAGTGAGGCAGGCAGATAGGAGTTTTAGTGTCTTTCTAATTGGATAAACGAAGTTTCACACAAAGAAAGCTGGGAAGCAAGGACACTACCGGGAGGAAAATGTACACAGAATTTATACAGGTGCACAAATCAGTGATAAAAAAATTGTTTAGTAACTCATATTCTCTCCACTCTGGCTCTCACCTCAGCCAATGCAGGATTATTTCTTATAACAGTCTGCTTATTCTAGTCTTAAATTACTCCAGCAAAGGAGCTTTCACCACATCCTTCGGCAGACTATCTTAATCTAATAAAGCACAGTGCTGGGAATTTCCCAACACATTCCCACAAGTTAGAGAATAACCATAGGCCTGAAGATGGGATCTTTCCTTGCCAGGAAATCATCTTGTTCATTATCATTTAATGGCTGATCAAAGGATTTCTCATATCTGCCTCCACTCTCTTCTTCAAGGACAAATATGGCTATGAAGAAACAGGAGCTGGGAAAGACTGATTCCCACCAATATCCACAAGCCCCTGTAATCAGTGATTCAATTATAGAATTGCTCTCCTCAATGCGACAGAAGAAGGTGAAGCTCTCTGCCCCAGTCCCCAACAATATCTCCCATATCTGATGATCTGTTTAACCCTGAGCATGTGGGTCAGAATCACCATGAGTTAGATTTTAATCCTATTTATACAGCTAGGTACTGTTGAAGTCCAAGTAGTGATCCTCTCCCTAACCTCAGCCTCTTACCATTGAGAGTCTCCTGTATCACAGCCTCCTGGATGTTTCTCCCCTGTGCTCCATGAATCCTGTTGAATAATTCCAGACCATATGCTTCTTCCCTAACAAGTTATATCCTGACAATCTATTGCTAATTGTCTGCTTGTTACGCCTTCTGCCTCTGTTCACATGCTGGAATAAGAATACTCCTCTTTCTCACTGTCATGGTCTCTTTCTCTGTTTCTGTGTTCCTACCAGGTTCCCTATATTTAGCAGTGTTGATTCCTGCACCCGGACCCGCTGCTGCAGACATCAATCCAAAGTTATTACAATTATATATATATAATTATATATATACACACACACATACACATATATAAACATAAAAACCACAGCCCGAGCCAGAGACTTCTTCTGTATGAGAAGTCTGAGCTGTTACATACCACTTCCCCAGGCGTACGAGTCAGTAACTCACCGCCAAAACCTTGCCCTCAATCCTCTGACGTGCTCCATTAACCCAGTCACTCTCTCTTTTTCTGACAGAAAATGAGGGGGAGAAGGCAAGCATGTGACCAGACTGAACTGCCCCCAAGCAGCCTATAGACTGGGCAAGAGACATGCTTCAGTTTCCTCTCACTTCACCTTGGGAAACTTCATAGCTTATCTCAGGCATACCACAGTACTGCAGCAACACAAACCAATGTCCACGTTCCTTCAGTCAAAAGACAGGGATTTTCCATTCCCTCAGACTGGTCAGACAAGCCAAACCCCAACAGAACCCCTGTGAAGCCTGCTACAGCAGTCACTGTTCTAAAGCTCAGCTAATCACATCACTCAATTTGCTGATTATTTTGAAGCCTCCTTTAATTTATTTAGTTTGGTACTTGTACCAGATTGACTGCTCTGTAGCCTGAAGTCCTCCAGTGGGGGGAAAGGTATAACACAGGCAGCGGGAGCCAAGCTTCTTTCACATGGCCCTGCTAACAGGTCTTACCCCTTACCTAAGAGTGGGCTTTGGAGGAGGGTACAGGAGTTCAGTCTCCATCATCCATTGTCCTTCTGCTGAATCTACCAACAAAGGACTACGGCCAGTTGTCATGGTGGTTTTAGAGATGTGGACACTGGCCCACTAAGGCCCCATCTTTGCTAGCCTTTTCCCCACTAATGTTTCTCACTGTGGTTAACAATGACACAGCAGCACCACCAGTGGCACTAACAAAGGGAACTTTTCTAGACATAGAACTGTGACTATACCATCTGATCTCTCATTGGGAAACTTTTACAGTGGCAGAAAGCTTCACTTTCTAGTCCTGAAAGCTTGTGAGATACAGAACCTTTAACCCATCACTGGTACAGGACTGAATATTATCTATCCTGCACCTCAGCTGTGTGTCACTTTGGGAAGGAAATTCCACTTTCATTGGTGGGGGAGAGGGAGGATAAGGAGAAGTCAGCCACTGGCAGGTTGATTTTTATTTATTTATTTATTTATTAAATAAAGCCAGCTGTTGGAAGCTGCTCCGGAGATTTGGAATGTCAGAATAAATCCCAGGGGAGATTGATCAGTGGGCAGAAAGCAAATATACAGTTGAAATTGCATTATAAACGCAATTTATCACAGAACTCACCACCACAGATGAGACAAAGTAAATACACACACACAGTTAAATGGATATACCCAGTCTGTAAATTGCTTTGAGATCAAAGGTACTATAGAAATGTATTACTACCACAATTTGCTTCCCAGGATGTAGCTACAGCACTGAGTTGAGGAGGCAGGGCCAAAACCTCACTTCTTTCAATTGTGCCCAAATCAAGACCTCCAAATAGCAGTTTAGCCAAGTCAGCTCAGCTATGACATGTGACCTCAAGGGTATAGGTTGTAAAGCAAAGAAAATTGCAGCTTCAGGCATACAGATCTGATTTTTCTGCACCTTTACATCCAAACTCCCCAAAAGGCTTACCTCTTTTAATTTGCCATCCATCGGGATAAGCTTTTGGACATAAGGCCCAGGAATATCCATTTCCAAGAGTTCCAGCACAGTACTTCCTAACTTTTGCAAAGCCTCAAGCAAGAATAGCTTCTCACCTTGAAAAGTAAGAGAGACGTCAGTCAAACTGGTGAGCAAGTCCATTAGTGAAATACAGTGGGCCCCAAGATTGCCCATCTTGATCTATATCAGCCCAGACTCTGCAGTACATTTCAGATGGTGTGTGAAGGAATGTACCCGTGTCCACACCTTACACACGATTGTAATAATCTTTGTACAAAGTATACCTTGTGAGATATCATTTAAAAATTCAATTTTCTGATAAATAACATCATGGCAAAATGCACGTAGCAGTGTTATATGTGAAGTTATAAACATAAGCTGAGATCATTACTTAGGCCTGGTCTACACTGGTCTACATGAATAACGTAGCTGAAGTCGACGTACTTAGATCGACTTACCGTGGTGTCTTCATCGCGGTGAGCCGACTGCTGCTGCTCCCCCGTCGACTCTGCCTGCGCCTCTCGCCGAGCTGGAGTACAGAAGTCGACGGCAGAGCTCTCGGGGGTCAATTTATCGCGTCTAGACTAGACGCGATAAATTGATCCCTGCTGGATCAATCACTGCCCGCTGATCCGGCAGGTAGTGTAGACATACCCTAAGACTATGACTACACTAGCACTTTTGTCAGTATAACTTATGTCACTCAGGGGTGTGAAAAAAAAAACACCCCTCTCAGCGACATAAATTACACCTACAGAAGCTCCAGTGCGGACATCGCTATGCGGCAGGAGACGCTCTCTTGACAACATAGCTACTGCCGCTTGTTGGGGGTGGTTTAATTATGTCAACGGGAGAGCTCTCTCCCACTGGCATAGAGCGGCTAGACAGGAGAGCTTACAGCAGTGCAGCTGCCTCGGTACAGCTGTGCTGCTGTAAGGTCTCTGGTGTAGACATAGCCTAAAAGTATGTTTTCCAGAGAAGACTTGGGGATGGCCAAACCAGTTCCTCAGAGGCAAAGGGCAAGCTGATGCCTCAGCCAGGTGTGAACAAGGCTGACGGACCATTACCTGTGAAGTGGCCATTCTTTGGGCTTGGGTACACTTGCGAGTTACTGCGCAATAAAGAAGCCCCGGGCGCCCTAGCTTACTACCTGTCCACACTGGCAAGGCACGTAGAGCGCTCTGACTCTGCAGCTACAGCGCTGCTGGTACTCTACCTCGGCAAGTGGAATAATGTTTGCTGCACCCCCGCTGGAGCGCCGCGGCGCCAGTGTGGACGAGGTGTTGCATTACTGTGCTCTGATCAGCCTCCGGAAACGTTCCATAATCCCCTTAAGTCAAGTGGCCACTCTTGCCATTGTTTTGTAATCACTGCAGGAATGCGGATATGCCCTTTGAAAGCTCCATTCTGAGACAAAGCAACCATTACTGTGGAATGCTGTGTGAGAGAGAGAGAGGCGGAGGGGAGAGGGGGGTCTGTTGCTGTCTGAACTTACAAGACAGCATGCTGACATGCTCTCAGCCCCCCCCCCCCCAAACCCACTCTCTTTCCCCCCACATACACACAACACACTCCCTGTCACACTCCACCCCACCCCCCATTTGAAAAGCACATTGCAGCCACTTGCATGCTGGGATAGCTACCACAATGCACTGCTCTCTGTGGCTGTTGCAAGAGCTGCTAATGTGGCCACGCCAGTGCGCTAGCAGCTGTCAGTGTGGACAGATTGTAGCGCTTTCCCTACTGCACTCTACGAAGGCTGGTTTAACTCAAAGCGCTCTACATCTGCAAGTGTAGCCATGCCCTTTGGCAGGAAAAAAGGGTGCAGGGGCAAAAATATCTACATCTTGGCAAAGAAACAATATGAAGTTCCCTTCCACACAGACTGCCTGTCACCTTGCTCCCAGCTGGAAATGCTTTGAATTTAACATAATTTGTTAAGTTAGGCACCGGCTGCATTTTATCTTTATTTTTCTTGCAACCATTTCTGACTTTTATGCCCTATTGCTTGTACTCACTTAAAATCTCTTCGTAGTTAATTAACTTGTTTTACTGTTTTATCTAATCCAGTGTGTTTGAATTGAAGTGTCTGGGAAACTCCATTTGGGGTAGCAAGCTATGTGTATATTATTTCTATTAAAGGAATAACTGTCTTTATATAATTTGTATTGTCCAGAAGAAGGCTAGACAGTACAGGACATACATTTCCAGGAGGATGTCTAGGACCCGGGGGGGTTGGGGTGGGGTCACCTTGCATAACCAAGGCTGGCAAGAGCCCAGATGTGGCTGGCTGCAGCACACACAGACACAGCTGGGAGTGACTTGCCTGCTTGAGAGTGTTTGTGAGCAGTCCAAACTGGAGGCAACAGCAGCAAGGCACTGTAAAGGGCACCCCAGGTTAGAAGGCAGGGGTGACACAACTACTCATTAGTCTGGATTGTACCCTAGGTATGTCACTTGGCGACAGTCAAATGATAGTTTTATTACCACTGCCTTCAATGCTCTGGCCTGACTAGCAACCCAGTGTACATGGTGGATACCTCCAAAATAGCTCTCAGTCGCCTCAGAGGCATCAGGAAGAGCTTTGAAATTGTCATTGTCTTTTGGAATTTAAATAGTGAAAACTGAAAGTGTCTTCAAAACTAATTTTAAAAATTGTTCAGGATCTCAAAGATTATGCTTCCCGCAACAACAAGCTCAAGGTGGTGGTTGATACAGTGTCTAACATGAGAAGCATCTTGTCTACATTTGTTCTGTGCGTCATTTGAACAGCCCATATTCACTATTGAACCATCTGAATGCAGCCCCAATCAATTTTGATTTGAGCTCTTCTGCCTTGATTCCAACAACCTCTAGAGTGGTCTTTTATTCCTTCTGCTGGCCCAGTTACCAAGGCTGCTATGTCAGCAAAGAAAGCACACGTCCCAAAAATACAATGTACGATGACTTGTTCAGCTACAGACCTGTTAGTGGATTCATCAATAGGCAGAAAAATAAACCTAGCTTTCTATACATATTTCGGGGGTGTGACGGGTTGGATCACAGAAACCCCCTTGGGAGCTGCCACCCGAT